TAGCTCTCTTTCGAAAAGTTGACCATTTTTTTCAAAATATAAAAAATTAACCCTTTAGATATGTTGCTTCACTTCATTTCAAAAGCCATTAATTTTATTTCAGACATGTTTATTCATAAAAGGGTGTCTTAGCTCCAATTGGGACTTACATATACTTCCATTAACTCTTAATTTAATGCATATTTACATACAATTTCTTCAAGGATCAAATCATTATCTCTCACTTTGAATCTTTTATTTTTTGATTCACATGTGTTCAAAAGTTTCTTGAAGTGTAATCTTAATTGTTTTCGTTTAGACGTTGTATTATAGAGATAATGCTTTCAAGAAGCTATTTATACTAAAATAAAAAACTCTTATCCTAATAAAAAAAGTTTCTTAAAAATGTATTTTCTAAATTTTTTTCTTCTTTTTCTTCTTCAAATCAATTGCATTAGTTATTACATATATAACAATTTTAAGATAATATACAAAAAATACATGATCGGATTAGTCCAAAAGGGTTGGCGCCAGGCATCGCCTTGAAGGTGTTATCTGTCATGCCTGGTCGGTTTAATTCCAAGTGTCTATTGCATCCGGTTTTACAATTATCATGATTCATGCATGTTTATAAGAAGTTTACGAAATTTAAATATGTTTGCCTAAAAGACTTCAAAGTCAATATTTTACAGTAACCAAAAAAACAAAAAAAACCTTAACGTAAAACAGCAAACTACGTTATCAATGTGGTCTTTTTTTTTTTCCTTCTTTGTTGTGTCATATTTTATAGATTACTGAAATGTTGGAGTTTTTATGTGAGAAATCTGGGTTCAACGCTTCCAAGATTCCAATAAGATTCTATCTCTCCCAATCATCGTATTCGATCATAAGTGGATCCTGCAGCCCGCAGCTTCTTAGTTTATTAAAAAGGAAGCAACAATTAAACCGAGAGCAAACAATTATTGACAATAATTTGAAAGAACGTAGATTCGACGCTGCTTTTATTAGAACTTGTGGCTCTGTCAGTCATAGGACGACTTTTTCAAGTCCCAGGCTCCCAAGTAAACGGACTTGTTGACTTCAAGACTGTTTAATTATCGGATCAAACAATAATTACCCTAAATAATTATTTGCCCTTGCTTTGGTTTTAAAAAAAAAACTATAATAAAGGAAAGAGAGTTTGATGATCAAAAAAGAGTTTGAATGAATAAATAAATATATATTATAAAAAATTATCTATAGATCATAATTCTATATTCAGAAAAGGATTTCCAAAATGTCTTAATATTAATTTTTTATTTTTATATTCCAAAATTTTCACATACAAATGCCAATTTAATTTCATGGAAAGATGTAAAAAATAAATGACCAACGTGCCAAATCGCATATTTTTCCGTAAGATGGAAGATAATATCACGCAAGGAAATCAAGCCACTTGCAAAAAATCTTTATGAATAAACTGTCTCATGCAGATTATTTTGATGAATTTTCTTGTCAACTATATGAATATTGTTTAATTTGAAATATTGTCAAAGGCTTCGAACACAATCCATCAGATACCTGGGGAATAGAAATGGTCCATGATTCCCTAATTTTATGTAGTCAATCAAATTATGCAAATTATAATTTTATTAATTATAGCTCCATCAATTAATGTTTGCTTTTCGCAGCCTTCTTTCAACATCACAGCTTTGCTTAGTAGGACTATTACCTATTTTATTAAGGAAATTCTTAATCTCTTCCCATGTTTCTATGTTTTGTTTTGGATTTGCTGATGTTTAATTTAACTTTCAGACCTTAATTCGCTCGTACGTTACCATACTCGAAACGTGGTTGGGGGGCGATGGTTTGCATGTTTTAAGCAAGAAATGATCTACTGGTCATTTTGTCATTAATGGTGCGCAGGCAGGGCATGCGTCGAAGATTATCAATCAAAATTTAATTACGACCTAACTAATTAAATTGTTTTGTTTAATGAATATGTACTGTATATATTATATTTAAATGGAGGAAGATTATATTTTGATTCATGTCCCTTCTCTCTCGATCACAAGTCATTGTTGGCTATATAGAGACCAAAGAAATAGACTCACTCAAATATCAATGTACAATATTAACGGGATTCTAACTTTTTTTTAAAGTACAGGGCATGGGGAAGGGGGACGAGGTCCAAAGGATTATAACTTAAGCACAAAGTAAATGATGAGATCAAGTTTATTGTATATCCCATATCGGTAAACGTTAGTTTACATTTTGAATTAGTCAATGCTATAGCTATTGATCTCTACCTTTGTCTTTGGAGGGTCTAAGTATTTCTTGCCCTCAAAAATCTTGGACATAATCTATTTTTTTTAATTATATAGTAATTCTTATAGGAGGAAAGACCTTAATTAATAATTTGTTCATAATACTCAACAATTATTTGGAATCCTAGAAAATTTTTTGTTAAACATGCATGCTAATATGGAATTATTGTTGTGCCTTTGTGAGTTTCGGCGAGTATAAAGCAAAAGAAAAAACAAGGCTTTAAGGATGTTGCAAGTATCACTTTCTTTTAAATATATTTCATCCCATCAATTATGATATACAAGAGAAATGAATGTATGGAATAGTTTTAGAATACAATGATATCTTGTTTGATAATATTTTGCATTAGTTAAAATGAATGCTGGTTTAAAGTTCCTTAGTGATTGCAAATGATTATATGGGATGTCTAATATTGTTATCAATGTGATTCAACGAAATGAGAGAATATCAATTTCTTTCTTATTCCCCTTAACATCCGACAAAATAAATTGAATATTCTTAAACATGTTCATAATAACACTCAAAAAGAATCATATCATAATCATACTCATACAATTGGACAGAAATTGTCTACAATGAACATCACATAAGTCATGTAGTCACAGGAGATGGTCGCTTAAACATGTTTAGCTACCTTAATTACCTTCCTAATTAGTATATAATCACACCACACCAGCTGTCTTATTTTACTTGTGGTTCTTGGGAAATGCAGGGTGCCAAGCTGTCTACAGTAAGCCCGCATGACTAAACTGTGTTCTTCCGAGAGAATATCAAGCGGATACCTTTACACATAGCTACCTGATATTCGCAAATACCTGCTATTCTGGCTGTAGATTCTTTCCTATTCTTGATTTAATTTGTTGTACTTTTTTTTATCTGCTCAGATTTTACAGCTTGTCCTGGTTCTGATGTAATTAACCTTCTGCAACAGATTCAATTTTGAATATTCTTCTTTTGATGCCATCTGTTTGATTAATAAATTTTGAAAAAAAAAATGAAACATATAAGTTACGCCCACCACGTTGTTATCAAAGCTGGTAGTATAAGATTTGTCTTTTATTATTATTTCTTTCTCTTCTGTCATTCTCGTAGAAAGCTCAAAAGCTTCCAATCTAGAGGGTCAGTGTCGTTAAAAAAAGCCTTTTTTTTTAAATTTATTTCAATATTGTAAAACCGAATTTTCCACTCAAAATGTGAACCGTCCATGTGTCACAAAGAGACAAAACCAACTCTTATTATTGTACCATCTCGTGTATAACGACATAAGGCGATTGAAACAGAATAAAGGAAAAGGAAAAACAAAATGATGCACGAGATCCAAATTTGTTGGAATAAAACAGGCTGGAATCTAAAGGGGGTCCGAAAAATAATATTTTTAATGTCTCCATGGAGTGACCGTTCAATCAGGATGGAGCCCCTCTTTAAGGGTTTCACGTCAGCATGTTAGGTGCAATCTAATGCGGAAGTTAGTAAACCCCGAATCGACCGATTGGGTAGTAGGTGAAGTCATGTGGCCCTTTTGAACGATAGATAAGAACTATGCAATCCAATACTTCACGTTTCATTCGTTTAATTACTCAAACAATTTGTTTTTTGATTTTATCAGTTGTTTTATTTCTTGATAATGATGATGAATATTAGATAGTGTTTGATTTTAGAAAATAAAATTAGTTTTTATTTTTATTTTTTAAAAAATAAAAAATATAAATAAAACTTTGTTCGGTAATTAAAAATAAAAACAAGTATTTAAAAAACAAAAATGAAAGTAAATTAAAATATGAAAATAAAAAATATTTTTAATTGTAAAAACAAAGAATATATATTACTTTTTTTCTTATGTTTTACAAGTTATTATATTGAAATATTTTTAATGTCATTAATTAATAAATATACGATATATATATATATAATTAAATGACATTAATAGTAATATTATTGAACATTTTATTTATTTTTGTATTTATTTTAAAAAATATTTTTATTTTTGTTTCTCAAATATATTTTTTAAAAAAACAAAAAATAAAAATAAAAAATATTTTCTCCAACAGCGAAGTCTTAATATTTCCTGTTTGCAGGCAGGTAGCCTTAAAATTTTGAATTTGTGACCTTGAATTTTGCAAAGCACGTGAATCTCATGCTACAAGTAATTGTTGAAAAACAGTACGTACTACCGTAAATGCTACTTAAGGAAATCAATTATTAGATATGTAAGCCGCATGTATAATTAGTCTGAGTCATTATTGTAAAAATTCCAAGCGATATTTAACAGCATTTATTATAAGACAGGGAGAAGATAATTTTTCATTAAATTCAATTGTAAATAAATCTATTTGGATTGATCTGAAAAAATATAAAACTAAAAAATTCCAAAACCTTCAAAAAATTTTCCAAAATATATATACATAAACTGTTAGTCTAAGATCAACATTTCTTATAGTGAAAAATGAAAAATAAAAGAAGACATTAACTGTTAATCCTTGGCAATATATTATACTGTAATTCTAAACTAGTTAATTAGGTGAAAGTGGCTGTATGCAAAGGTCAGCCCCTGTATACGGTATTTGTTTAGAAGTAGTTGAGCAGCTTCTCTACATTTGTGTATATAAAAAGGCAGGACTTTCGCCCTTTTTTTATACAAATCAAAGAGAGGGTTGAAGGCCAAAATCATCAGTAGAAAAGGACGTGCAATAATAAGTTGCAGTAAAAGAATCCAAAGTATAGAGAGTATTAGTAGTGAGAGAGAGAGAGAGAGTGGTGATCAGCTATAGCAAAATAATAAGCAGGGCAAGGCGTACGTAAATGGGAAGGAGGCCTTGCTGTGCTAAAGAAGGACTTAATAGAGGGGCATGGTCTTTGATGGAAGATAAAATCCTCACAAACTACATTAACATCCATGGTGAAGGCAAATGGAGAGACCTTCCTCAAAGAGCTGGTACGTACTCATTGATTAATTGCTTGATCGATCAGCTTTAGTTTTAATTTTGATTTTCTGGTGCTTTTCTTAATTTTGTTTTTTCTATTAATCCATTTGTATAATAATGAATGAATGTGCTTATTGAGTTTAATTTGTATGTTATAGGGTTGCAGCGATGTGGGAAGAGTTGCCGACTACGGTGGCTGAATTATCTCAGGCCAGATATTAAAAGAGGAAACATCTCTACCGAAGAAGACGAGCTTATTATTAGACTACACAAGCTCCTTGGTAACCGGTATTTACTTGAGTCTTTTTCCCTTTTAAGTGTGCGAGATTGGAAAAATGTTGGCTTGGAAGAAAATGAGCTAATGAACAGTAGTAAATATCGGTGAAATAGTGCATTAAATTGTTTTGTTTTTGCCCGTAAAGATCTTTTTCATGAATGACTTTCTTTGATAGGCGTCACCATTTATGTCAAATTTCTCAATTATTGTTGTTTTGACGGCAAATTTCAACTGTGACCTAACTGATTCTAGTTCTGGATGCTTTTTAAATAAAGCCAAAGCTAAAAATTTTACATGTAAATTTGGGCTCATTCAGATGGTCTCTCATCGCCGGTAGATTACCGGGGCGAACAGACAATGAAATCAAAAACTACTGGAACACGAATTTGAGTAAGAGAGTGCAAGGCCAAAAGATTACTCCCAAGAGTAACCAAGCTTCTAAAATGCAGCTTAACAAGCTGAGTAAACTGAGTTGCATCAAATCCTCCCCGAAGGGATCACGACAGATGATCAGCACAAGGTGATTCGAACCAAAGCAGTGAAGTGCACCAAGGCCGTCCATGTTATCCCACGACTGTTAGATAATCAGACAGCTGAAAACAATATTTTAGGCCCCAAATCTGAAAGTAACACAGCTAGTGAGACACCGTCTTATTCAGCCATCCATGAGGATAATTCTATCGATTTCTTGATGGACTTTGACATCAATGAGCTTCTTGTATCGGACGCTCCAATCTCATCAGACTTGCATCCAATTCAACAAGTTGATGAAAATGGTGACAATGTGGTGGAGAATCGGGAATACGGAAATGGTTTCAATTTAATTGATGAAGTCGAGCTTAACAGTTCAGTGGATGAAGCAAGGCCTGATTACTTGGAGGCTACCACTGACCTTTTAATCCAAACAAGTGAAACTTTGGATCTCCGAAGTCTAGCATCTTATTTGAATTTAGAAGATGAATGGATTAATTAATTAAAGTTAAACAAAATTAATAATATCATAATTCAATTATTTTAAGTTGTTTATCGAATTATCATAAGAGTTGCCATATCCCGTAACATTTGATTTCAAATCTGAATAACTCAAATCCTCACCATAACATTAAATAGGAATTAACTGTAGCTAATTGGCCCCAGATTATGGTCATTAGAGAAAGTTGTAATTTCAATGTTAATTAGAATTATTGAATATGTATAGCCTTAAAGATATATATATCATTAATGTGAAAATAACAAAAATAAATGTCTTCAAATGCTTTCTTACTTTAATGTCATGCCTCACATGTGTAACGCTTGGAATCATATCAAAATCCATGTGCATAATATGTTGTTTGTCGTTTATAAAGAAATATAAAAGGAATGATTAACTTTAATGACAATAAGCTAGGGGAATAGGCTACACCGTAAGTGAAAAAAAAGCAAGTGTCAAATGTACTGCATATTCATCGTGCATGAGATATTTTATTTTTATTAAAAGTAAGATTGGATAGTGCTAAGGGTTTTTTTTTTTATTTTATTTTATCAAAATGAGATAACCAATTTTTTTTTAAAAAATTATTTTATATGAGTTTTAATATGCGCTAATGTTAATATTAATTATAATTAACAATACGTGCGAGAAGTAAAATGATTATCATATATAAATATAATATTGATTCATTAATAAGCAACTTTCATGTTATATTATATTTCAATTAATTTTAACAACTTAGCCATAAAATTAATACATTAACTAATATTTTCTCTTAAATAATAAAAAATATGATTAAATTATTTTTTAAAAATAAAATTAATTTTAAGATATTTCTCAAAATTATATATTTTTAACTCAATAAAAGATATAAAAATTTTAATTCAATAACAAAATTCTATTCAAGTATTTAAAATCCAACGCAATGATACTAAAATATATATTAAATAAATGTAAATGTAAAAATACAATAAAAACTACACCATATCAATTTTTTCATTGTGAAGATATATATAATAATAGCTATATTTATTAGTATTAATTAAGTTTATAGTAGTTGTTCTTTCTAAAAATAGTTTATAGTAGTTATTATTATATTTTAAATTAATGTCTTTTTCTCTCATTTTCCTTCAATATTTATTATTTAAATGACTGATATATTATTATGTTTTTTTTTTTTACTATGGAACTTATTATTAGGTTGAATTAATTTAAAAAAAATATTTGGATAACAAATATATTTTCTTTCTTTTATCTAAGAAAAATTGAATAAATAAAAAATAAGAAAAGTTAGATTAGATTAATTTGAGAATTTAGTGTGCAATTGTTTTTAACTAGCTAGTCTTTGTCCATTATTCTTACACTACTTTATATTAGGAAAGTATTAATTTGGATTTTGAAATTGGAAATCATTCTTCATTCTCCCCTTTAATATTCTCAAATATTTATAACCATTAAACAATCTAGAATTTAAACTTTAAGTTAAGAAGTTTTATATTTCAATTAAATTAATTAAGAATGGGATAAGATTTGTAAGACAAATAGAGATATATTCTTGTGAAGTAAAATTGTTTTGGAACACTTTGATCAATTAAAATTTTAATTGGCTTTTCGAGATGCATGAATTTGCTTTCTAAAACTTGATATTTTAAGATATTTTAGATATTTTAATTTTTCGTTTTCATAACAAGACTAAATTTTGTTTTTTTCTTAACAATAATTAAACCTCAATTATATTTTTCAACTCCAACTTTTTCAATAATTTTCTATGCAATGCTAAATTAGGCTTTTTTTTTTTTAATTACCTAACCTGTCAGAGAAATATTGAGAGCTAGCTAGCAACCAAATTAGAAGGAAAAGCACATGCAAAAACAGTACCATTTTCTGTGACAATTAATTCTCTCCGAAAAAGTCATGTTTGTACGACTTTCCCCACTAACCTCAATCTAATTATATTATTATAGCTGCGTCCTATACTTCCAATACTCTTGGGTTGGCCAAACCCTAAAATGATTTTGCCGAAGAAGAAAGTCTCGGCGGCAACATGAGTGCAGTGTGAAACCACTTTTTTGTAGCTTTGTCGATTGCCGTGCTCCATCTTATTAATCACGTCATATCCGATGTCTTTTTCTTAATTATTTTCCCTTTGTTCGGTTGTGTTGGTCGTGTTGTAGCATTCAATAAACCCTACTCTAAACTCAGATGTCTTGCTCTGTCTTCACATGTCGCTGTGGTCACATGTCTTTGGGCCCCAAGCTTTATACTGTTAATTTGTAAATTTTATACAATTATTATTGTTGTTGGTCTTACAATTTCTTTAGACCATACGGGACTCCTCAATCAATGTTGTAAATTTTGTTGACACGGCGATATCATATAATACTAAAAATTGATGTGACGTTATCACATCATTATTATATAATAAAAAATTAATAGTTGAATGATGAAAAAAATATTTATTTAAATTTTTATAATTGAATTCAAAATTTTAAAATATGGACTAATTTACTCTTGTTGGTCTAATTTCTTTAGACTATATGGTACTCCTCGTCAATCAATGCTGCACTTTTTACTATTAATTCTAATTAAGGTTTAATGAAGACTCGTAGTGGGTTTATATAAAATGCACAAACAGTTTTTTCAAAATTATTGTGCGAGGGATATTTTAATTTTGGTTTTAATTAAATTAATTAATCAAATTAATTTAATTAATTTAATCATTCTATCATTGAATAAATTTAAATTAGTTATTGAACATTATTTTATGAAAATTTCAGTTTTCAATTAATTTGATTCAAAAATCAAATTAATCGAATTAAACAAAATATAATAAACTTTATATATAAAATTAAAAATATATGAAATTATTTATTTCATTTCAAATTATTAAAGCTTTTAATTTTATATTTGGATATTTAAATATTTTTATTAACTATTTTTATTTATTTTATTTTAAATATAAAAAATTAAGAATTTAAATTATAATTTAATTTAATATATTTTATTATTTGATTAATTAAAAATTTAATCGAATTAACAAAATTAATTTTGATCAACTAATTTTTGAAATAAAAAAATTTAATTTAATTAATAAAAATAATTTAATTTAATTTTAAGTAACTCAATTCGAAATTAAGTAAAATATCCGAATGAACGGCCCTTATGAGCCCATTTGCTTCATGTGGCAGCTAGTGATCGTGTCTGTCTCAAAGAAAGATGTTGGTTCTGCCACTTTCTCAAGGACCAAAAATATTGAATAACATTCGCTTGTGGTTGTGGTCCTTGTGGTCCTTTTTTCTTTTTTTCAACATGTTTTTTTATCCTTTCTTTCGTCCCATTTATCTACTTAACAGCCTTTTTTTTTTTTTTCATAAACAACTTAAAAATATAAATAATATATATAAATCGAGAATTATTTTACATTTCACTAAACGATCAATCAAAATATACGAATTTATCTTGATAATATATAGTTATTACTTAAATAATACATAAAAATATGAAAAATATCTCAATAGCTGTTGCTTGTACTTACTACTACTTACTATCTAAAAGAAATTGAAAGGCGAAGTTCGTTGTGAAGAACATTATTAATGTAAAAAGAGTTTCTTTAAACTTGTCATTCAGTGGCAAAAAAAAAAAAAAAAAACCTTTTCATTCAATAAAACAAAGTGATGACATGGGTTTCAATTGATCGTTGAATCTTAATTAAATGATTGGCACCAAAAGTTTTGAGATAGCTTTAGTTAATAAATATGGTTAAATTGATCTTTCTCATGTGCCCAACTACCTAGCTGGCCACCTATTTTGTTTATTCACATTTTAATTTGTGATTGGCTATGGAGTTATTTTCTTATGGCCTATGCCCATTAATTATGAAGCGTCTCGATTCCTTTTTTGACAGCCACACCATTTGTCTTTTGATGTTAAATACAACTACACAAACGAGACTTTGTCATAAATTCTAGCAGATGATGATGGTGCATCGAGACGTTTAATTTCTTTCTATATTTTATTTCATGTTATTCGAAGAGCACCACCATGGGAATATGAGCCCATTTCTTGGGACATATCTGTGAAATTGAATTTTAAAACCCAAATTTGCCCTTTTTTTTATAACATGCAAATTAAGTTGAGTTTGACGTTTTATCAGTAATATATGCGTGAAAATGTATTAGGGAAAATTTTTCTAATAAAGAAAAAAGGAAAGAAGCTATCATTGTTTAATATGAATATGTGCTATTGATCTCCTGATTAAAAAAGGGCGTTGTTGTCTTGCTTATCGATTGGAATTTATTAGAAAACATATATAGGGAAGAAACGCAGGAGAAAAACATTGAAACTCATTTAAAGCTGTAGAAAACAATTAGGCATAGAATTGGTAGCTTGCCAACCCCCCAACTTAATTGCTCTATGTCAGTAATAGTACATATATGCTAATTGAATCCAAAATCAAGTCGTCAATAATACAATCCTATTAACTTTTAAACTAATTTTAGAATTATATAAGCATGGTTCAACCTAACCAATTTATATTGTAGCTATCAATCTGGTGTCTTACCTTAGATGAATAAATAATAGTACTAAACTGAATTTAGGATAGAGATTTTAGGTGTTCTCTTTTATGCTAAAAAAAATGTAATAATAATCAATACCATTCGATGCAAAGAAAATTAGAAAATTTTCTTTTAGATTGAACCCAAAATTTAGCTTTGATTTATGTAATCTCCTTTAAAATAAGGTATCTAATAGTTTAAAGTTCAAATCTAATCACTAGAGATGGCAATCCAACTTATCTTCGATGGGTTCCGACCTGACCCGATCTCTTAAGATTTTTTTTTTTTTAAATCAGATTTTAGGTCAGGTCGATTAAGATAATAATAAGAAAAAGTCAAGATTGGGTTTTAGGCAAATCCGACCCCATTCATATATAAAAAATTTTATTTTTTAATTAATTAATTAATTTTATATTTATATTAAAAATCTTTTATATTAAAAATAAT